CTCTGTCGCAATTCTCTGATTGGCTGCCGCAACTCTGTCGCAATTCTCTGATTGGCTGCCGCAAGCCGCAATTAGTTAAGGAGTCATCTTTAGTAATTACTGATAATGTGTCTAAATAATAATAAGTAAATTAAATAAGAAATAAAACTTATAATTAAAAATAATATTTTATAAATCTTGAGACTATAAATAATTTTTTAGTCAAGTGATTAAAGTTGAATTAATATATTTAGAAAAAAAAAATGAAGTTTGATATTGAATAATTCAAGATCATTGACTTTATAACTAGAAATATTATCAGCTAACAAAATAATTTTGCAGTTTTTTAAGTAAAATATATTATTAACCTTTCTAAGATAACTTTCAAATATAGAGTATTACATCTAGGTGAATTTATTATAATAATACTATATATCAAGTATAGTTTTATCAATTCTACATAATAATCAAGAATTATTTAAGTTATTTATGAATGGTAAAGATAGCTTTTCTTCTTTTATTATATTATAAATTGCAAATATAGATATATGATTTTTCAATAATTTCTTTTTTGAAATTGACACATGAGCAAGTATTATTTGAGATTTTATTTTTCAAAATAAAGCTATTTTATCATAATTAAAAATATCATACTTACTATAACCTTCTAGAATTGATTTCAAATATTTATGTTGCTTAAATAATTTGATCATATTAATACTTTCTATTTTTTCTCATTTTTTATAAGATTTTAAATTATTTCTCTTTTTGAATTCTTCTAATTATCTATTAGTTGCACCAAATTTGCAATTATTAAACAAAATAATAAATTTTCTAGCCTTTTCTCTTAAAATTGAATCAGTTAAGATCACTTTATTACTTATTGTATTTTCTACTCAAAGACTTAATACTTTCTCTATATTAGAAAAACTACTTTGATATCTTCTTTTAAATATATTAGTGATAGAGATTTTATCAATATTAAGTCAGTAAGCACTATTTAATAAAATTTTACTAATTGTTGATATAACATATTCAAACTATTTGGCTAATTTAGCTATTTTAATTGAGAGATTATCTTTTTTTATTTGACAGATTTCTTTTTTTTTAATATCATGAAGTACATAATATTTGTTCATAGCAAATTTTATCACTTCATCTCTAACTATCATGACAAGAAACAGATTAGAATTTATCATAAACTTTTAAATATTAAGTAAATTATGTCATACTGATATATATATTTATATTAATGAGAAAGATTATTAAAATTATAGTGAACTTTATTATAATATGATGAACTTCATTATAATATAGTGAACTTTATTATAATATGATGAACTTTATTATAATATAGTGAACTTTATTATAATATAGTGAAGTTCATTATAATATAGTGAAGTTCATTATAAGAAAACTTCATTATATTCTTAATAGCCAACTAATTTAAAATTTCATTATAATAATTAATCAGATTTTCTTAATTAACTTCATTATATTCAAAAAACTTTATTAAACAAGATTTTGGGATATCGAAAAAACTTCATTATAATTGAAATTCATTATATCCAGGTTTTATTATATCCAGATTTCATTATATCCAGATTTCATTATATCCAGATTTCATTATATTCAGATTTATTATGTATATAATTATAAATATAAAATAAGAATCAAGTAATAAATTATAAATCAATAAATGAAAACTAAAGATAAAATATATATGTTAATTAAAAGATAATATAAATAAATAAAATTATAATTAAATAATAAATAATAAAATAAGATAGATATTTTATAAATAAAATTTGATTTTAGATTGTGTGTTTGCCATTGGTTTATATAAGATGCGAATATAAATTAATAAAAATCACGTGATAGAATACCGTGAAGACTTCACGATCGGAAAAATTATTTTTATCTTTTGTCTTGCCCGTAAGTAACCAAACGCGAAACGCGAAACGCAAAACGCGAAACGCAAAACACGCAGTGTGGGTTACATTCTTTAAACCTACGCACCCGCTACGCTCTATTCCCGTTTGTTATATGCGTATCTTCCTGAAGGCTAGCACTGCCTACAGCGGATCTCGCACCTTTTTTTTAAGCCTGTTTGGCTAACATTGCAACATTTCCATCTTGTCACTGTAGATTATCATTTACCATGTTGTCTGACGTTGATAACCCTGGACCTGGATTTGAGTATTTTTTAAGCACTCCTTGCGGGAATTGGAATCTGCTAGAATATTTCGAGGCATGGACTGCCAACTACGGTTTGGATAAGGCGAATCTAGTAAGGAGATTCAACACACAGTTACAGATAGTAAGAGAGCACGGCACAGACGAAGAAAAGAGGAATGCAATGCGTCTTGAGCTGCAGTTCAAGGTAGGCTTTATAAATTACAGTGTCTCGACTGCTGCAGATTAGTTTGTCATTGTATGCTACCCATGGGACTTCGTCTCCGCATGGTTATGGACTTCGTCTCCGCTGCAGGCTGCAGCTACCCATGGGACTTCGTCTCCGCATGGTTATGGACTTCGTCTCCGCTGCAGCCAACTTACTGATTTTGCAGTCAATTTCCTAATATAGATTACAGATATATTCATCTCTTTGTGATGCTAAACTATATATCTTTTATTATACTCACCTTGCACGAGACTGATAAGAAATCAGGTTGCATAGACAGGTTTTGCTTTAAGAAAATGACTGAGAACCATATCGGTGTACTGGAGGTAGAGAACATCTTTTTGTTTATTGTTATCTTTTCGAGCAATAAATAACCAGTTAATTCTTCTATAGGCTGAACAAAAGTTGGTAATCAAACAGGAATTTACGCAGCAGATAAAAATGTATGCAAAATCTGCTACTAGAAGTACAATGCAGATTTTGAATCAGGTTAGTTTTAATTTACTATTTAAAATCAGAGCAAGCTTTTGATAATAATCTCATTGTCTTACTTATTATTTTGCATCATTAGAACTCACGCCCAAGTACCCCTTTGCAAACAACAAACACATCTCATGAAGCACATACCAGCCCCGGATCTATGGATAGCTTATCAATACTCTCCACTTCGACACGTAGCAAGCGGAAGATGGCAAATTTGCCCAAATATGATCAGGTAGGACAATGTTCAGACATGTTGAAACAATATGGGATTGACTGACTAAACGCCTTTTACTATTATTATTATTTAAAAAAGAATATAAAGATCCGTTTGCTCGAATGCCAATCGTCTGAGAGTGATTACGAGGAAAATGACTACTTAGCAGACAGCGCAGATGATGAAGAGGATTACATTGCTCAGGATGCCGATTTTTTCTTAGACCCCTTCGCAGATAACAATGAAGAAGGCGGATGGATGTTAGATGGCGGGAGTAGTGTAAGGAATATGCTAAATTCCAAAACATATGAGGCTCTAGAATTAATGAAGAAGTCCAAAAAAAGAGATTCGTGCGTTCTCAGTGTCATCCGGTATTTTTTTCTCTCCTTCTGCTCTGCTATTTGCATTACTAAGATGCTGATGTATATATATATGTATGCAGGCTCGGACTTTCGTCAATCATTGACTTATCCTCTGAATTTCCGGGGGGCATGCATGAATGGTTCGGTAAGGATTGGCCAACACTCAAGGCAAAGGCATTGGAGCATTTGAATGTGACGACGAAGCAATTTGACGATCCTGTGAAGATTGATATTAAAAAAATCATGGAGGTACGTATGCGAAAAGAGGTTTTTGTCGATTTGTCGAACTGAAAATAACATCGAATTCCTTTAATGCATCAGAATTGCACGTCTTATTATTATTCGGAGGCTAAAAAATTTATTCTAGAGAAGTTGATGGACGAGTCAACAGGAATCTTACATCAACAAATAATGAAGTGTTATTATTTTGTGTACGTAATTACGCGCTCGCTTTTGTGCATTCGTGATCTTAGATCTACTAAGCCGAATTAATTTTTCGCTAGCCTGGACATGTTCCTCTCTGATCCACACGTTTTTGTCGATAAAGAGGGCAAGAAAAAGAATCTATCCGAGATGGACTATGTAATCAAATTCATCGGCCCAATATTAAATATTATTTTCTCCGATGTGCAACACCTTTCACTAAAATGGTGAGTATCGTTACCTGTCGCTAAATCAGTCATGATTGTCAGCTTAATTATTTATTCATTTGCAATGCTAAGGGGAGAGACAGTTGCCAAGACGGTTCACAGAAAAATTGATCTGAGAATTGTATGTCGAGAGAATGATACGGAATTGAGCCACTCGGAATGTGCTCGAGCAGTCACACGCGTCAAAATCACCCAAGGACCGCAGCAAATGTTTGCGAACGAATAAGTGTGTCCTCGATAGATATCTTATGAACGATCTTCCCGAGGAGGTAGTCGAGGATTCTGCGGTCTTAGGGCTGCAATTTGCTGGTAAGGCTCTCCACATTGCATAATACCAATAAAAATCGATGCTCAATGATCTTTGTCATTTATGTTAGGCCTGTATGGCCAAGTCATCGGCGTGGACTTGCTCGAAAAAGGACTTTATTTTGGCTTCGAAGGGCCCGCTTTTAGGTTTCCAAGCCAACTCTGCGATATTTCTCCTCTCGAACAAGCATTGGAGGTGTTATTTTTCTTCAAAGTAATGAAACTATTGATGTTCTTGTATATCTATATATTCATGACAATTATTAACTTCTTTGATGGCAGGAAAATATCGTTCGCAAAGTGGAGGCATTACGTCGGCGCGAGGAAGCCACAAACCCTTTTCATGAAATTTTCCACAAATCCGAGAACAAATCAAAACCATGTCACCGCAAGATTGATTTCATAAGACCAACGTACTTTACTCCAAAGAAGATATCGGTAACTAATGAGATAAACAGTTTGCAAGACCTAGAGGATATTAGGTAATCATTCTCAGTTCAGAAGTCAAATACTCAGCATCAGAAATGTTACGATTAGCCATTCGTACATAGTAATGAATGTTAACACTTTGGAAGGTTCTTCATTATCTGATTGATTTCTGTCTTCATTTTCTTTAGAAATTAGAGTCTCCATCTTTTATTTTTCAATTTTCTTGGATGAAATATGCAAATAATGATAAGCTTATATTGATTAGTGATTCTGATTGGGATAGGCTGTTTATCATTTAATAATGAGAGTTGATATTATAAAGTTAGTGCCAAACTACATGTATATACAGTGAGAAATAGTATAAGATATCTAATATTGCCAATTTTTATTGCAAATCTTATATATATTAATTAAACTGACCAATCAGAAGCAATTAAAAAAATTTTTAAATATATGAATATTTATTTTTATATAATAAATATTAAATTTTCAATCACATATAAAATTTAAAGTGTTATAACTTTAAAATTATATTAATAAAGAATTTATTTTAATAGAATTATAACTTGAATAAAAATTAACAAATTTATAAGAGATTTTTGTTAAAATTATTTATTTTTAAGCTACTTTTTATATTATATATAAATATAAAAAAAAAGAAAATTATTTAATTATATACATAAATATTTAATAATAAAGTGAATTTTATATAAGACTATTTTTATATAAAATTATAAAATCAATTTATATCAAATTTATTATGAAATCAAAAAATTATAATATCATTAAAAATATTTTAAAACAAGAACAAGATGAGAAAATTATTTATATTTTTAATATTAAAATTATTCAAGAATATTTGAATAAAAAAAATTACCTACAAATTTATTAATAATTATAATATAATTTTTCTTATTAATAAGAATTAAATTCTAAATAAGAATTATTAAAAACTTCTGAAATATTAAGAAAAAAAGAAAAATATTATAAAAAATTATATAAATTATATAGAGATATTTTTATATTTTTTAAGTATATTATTATATAAAAGAAATTTTATAAAATTAAATTTATATTTAAATAAAATAATAAATAAAAATATTTTAAAAAAATAATATATTTATATTAAAATTATTTATCACTTTATAATAATTTTATATTTTAACTTTTATTTTTTTGAACTTAACTAATTAATATATTTGTTAATTTATAAATTAAAATTCATAATTTTTTAATTAATATTAAAGAGTATCATCTTTATTATTCATCAAGATTTAAAAGAAAACTTTTGAATTTTGTAAAATAAATTAAAAATATTATAAATTTTAAATTTAATTATCAATTATTTTTAAAATAATTTTCAGATCATATAAATATATTATAAATAATATTTCTTATTATTACAGATAAATCTTTCTAAATATATTTTTCTTGAAACTAATTATAAATATATATTTAAAAAAAATGTGAATTTAAAAAAAATATTTTTTATAACTTAATTACTATATATACAATGGCAATCAAAAATAATATAACACTTAAATTTTTTACTAATTATAATTAGTAAAATATGTATTTTTCCTTACATATAAAAGTTTTTAATTTTATTAATAAATATTTTTTATTTTTAGCTCAAAAAACAGCTAAAGTTCTCTAGTTTAACATATATTTTTTTCAGAATTTTCAGATTTTTTTACCAGCAACTTGTTCTAATTGCATATGAAATCAATTAATTTTTAT